ACAAGCACAAGATTAAAGTAGGCTGATCGTTCAAACTAGGCGTTGGTAGAGTCAGGGTTACTAATCTGTACGAAAATTATTCGTTAAAAGTCGCGCACCAAAATGATGATCAAAACAATGTTAAATTCTTCAAGTGTCTATTGATCATTTCAAAAAGAAATGAAATGCTTACTTCAAGCTCACTTAACCAATTATAATAAACTGTTCACTCTCAAATGTTACATTATCTTACTTAGAGGATTTTTATTTTTTGAATACTATTCACTTGTTAAAATTTATAACTGTCAGTGTGTGCTGCTGATGATGATGATGATGAATAGTAATTGCATTATTCTAGTGTAGGTTATAAATAACAAGGTAGGTAGGTAGTCTTGGCAGGATAGTAGTATATAAACCAATAGCACATTAGGAGATAATGTGATTAGCGTTAAAGCAGATTAGGGAATAGTTTCAAAAGAATTTATTAGTTTAGAAATTTGAATTGATATTGATTAATGTTGATTATCATTAACATTATCATGAATTTAACAGTAACGCAATTGTCTCATATCGATCCTTGAACAATGAAGTTCGCTTGATTATTATTATTTATTTTTTCTCGGATACTGTTCTATACGTCATCTAGACTGGCGTAAAATGCTAGACTATCTAATTAAATAAACAATTTCCTATTAATTAAAACAATTGTTTGTACATCCTGTTTTTTTTTGTAAGCAGGATATATTTATTTGAATTTATAAATGTACACCTTATTTAAATGTGTGTACATTTGAAGCGCTAATAAATACCCTTGAAATTGTACGTTTGTAGTCGACCAATTCATTGATTTCGTTTCAGCTTCGATTTATTTACAAGTGCTAATAAGATTTCTAGCAATCTTTCGGTTCTGGATTATAAATGGTTTGAGTTTACGTTTTTAGAGGATCAACAGGGTTTGGAGGTTGTAAATGACATTCTAAAGTCACTTAGTAAAAGTAACAAATCATTCAATTCCATTGGTGAGAAGCATAAATGTAAGTGTTTATCAAATACAAAACTTTATCAATGAGAGGTTTTTATAATCTCAACTTATTGCTGATCAATACAACTACCATAAGTCTCCAGAATATTTATTAATCTTGAAGTACTTTCATTCCATTATTTATCCATCTTATGGAGACCATGGATAACCCCCAGCTAGTCCAGTGATTTAAACCCAAATACTGTCATAGAAGTATGTTTTCATAATAGACAAACAAATCTTGTCTTTGTCAGACGATAAGGATAGGTATGCATAAAACCATATCCATTCTTTTTAATTTAAACCATCACCTGAAGCCTAAAACCCTCAAATTAACTTATCTACACATAACAAGTCCTTATTATTCCCTATGATTGGTGAACACAGCAAACGAGGTCAACCTAGTATTCATAAAAGAAAATAGACATTCAAGCTTTTAACTGATCTTCATTGATTAGAAAACTACAAACCTAATGCTTGTTACTTCAGAATATACCAAATATTTAGCTAGGTTATTTGTAATACCATATATACCCTCTTCTCCTTACGCTACATATTTTATAATTAGTTTTATTATGAACATCGACGTTTTACAGTGAAGCCAATAAAGCAAGTAATCAGTGATCACAAAAGACTACCTTTCGCATTTGTGCTTATGATAATAGACAATATGATTTGATATATGAGACAATAGACTAGATCATGATACTAAATCTACAAGTATATTGGATCATGTGATCCACCGTTATGACCGAAAATCGAGAACCAGATTATAGAGACAGAAAAAAACTAATTCACTTAGAGTTGAAACAGTCAAATACCACTTAATCCGAATAAGAAATTTCGATTAAATTCTTTTACATGCAATAGTAATTTATATACTTGTGATTACTGTATAAGATTAGATACACATGTTGCGACGTTCAATAAATAAATGATTACCTCCGAATAAAGACATCTTTATACACTGGAGATCTATTCAATCAATCCCAAATCTTGAGTTTTATTACACTCACACATTTTGTCCAACTAGTGTAGCCTACAGTAAAACAAAACAAACATATGCACACTAGGGACCACTTGAGTACCACATCTAAAAATTGTCTTGACTTTCTACTGAGGAGTTTGTCAGTATCTCATGAAATATTCCCTAAGAAACTTTTCAAACCGATAATACAATGACTCATATCCTAAACATTGAATTTTATCAAAACTCTTGACTTTCAATGGACAAGATCTGTCCTCTTCAATCATTTCACCTTACCTTTCACATACTTTTCGTGCTTTTGAAAAGAAACACACGTTTTTCTACTAACCTTAAATTCACAAAATTTTATCACGTTATATAACCTAATAATTCATTGGTTTACTATCTTTTCATGTCAACATTTGTCGAAACTACTTAAAAATCGCATAGTTTTCGCGCATAGTCAAATGTCACATTAATGTAGAATCGAGCAGCTTGGGAATGTCGTTGCATTCAAAATGACTTTATCGCTGAATATAAAAGATATCTGGTATTGATAGGTAACTATTTATTCACCGTGAGACTTTCTTATTTCCCGGAACAGTTAGATTTGGTATGTGTACAACTTTAATTGTCCAGGACACTTTGATTGCTTACTTATAATATTGTCTTGTTCTAAACAGTAAAAAATTATTTTCTTCAAAACTGGATCATAAGTCTAAATTATCTTAATAATTGACTTGACGTACTTTCTTAACACTCGAATTCTTTGAAGCATTCTAAATTATTCCGATAGAGGGCTATTACAGAAGATTACCAAAAGACGGAAACCCAGCACATGTTCAGTCAGTCAGTCAGTTGCAACGTAGAACTTCGTACGTAGGTACATCAGTTCATGTCGCCATACCACATCAGCACAGAGATATAATTGTCAATTCAAATCCAATAGTAGAAGAGGTAGTAAAGGTATTAGAAGTAATCGGAGAGGTTAGGATGAGAGGATATTATTCACGAAGTATGATTCAATGAGATAAGTTTAGAAAGTAAAAACTAGAGGTGTTGAAGAACCCAGATTAGGATTTGAGAGAACACAAAGAATAAATGCACTGGCGCCATCGCGAACGATTTTGAGCCATGTCATGTTGTGGTACGATTAGTTGGTTCGTGCTAAAAATACGTTTATCGCCAATTCGTGATACTCAAATTACCGATAGGCATATCTAACCACAAACCAGTGGAAAGTACACAAGGATATTCTCTTTTTACTTTAAGGTAGGGGATTCGTGTCTATTTGTCCTGAAAATTAGTCAGACTTGATAGTTATTGGTATCAAATAATGAAGAAAAATAAGACAGGATTCCCCTCATGATAAACAAAGAACAGCAGTCGACGGCAAATACTGGAAGTGGGAAGCAATTAGTCTTCTGCTCTTACTCATTACCGTAATCCGTTACCTCTTACAGGTTAGATATGGATGTCAGTCAGTTACAACGTAAAACTTCCTAAGTACATCAGTTAATGTTGCCATACCGCATCAGCACAGAGACGCAACTGTCAGTTCAAATCCAATAGTGGTAGCTATAGTAGGAGTATTAGCAGTAAAGGAGAATATTAGTGATAGAAGGTATTATTCTAGAAGTATAATTCAGTGAGAGATCTTTAGAAAGAGAAAGATGGATATGAATAATAATAATAATTGAGAGAGCATAATGAATGGATGCACTTGCGCCATTGCAAACGAATTTGAATCGTGTCGTTCAAGGTCTCTAACCATCGATTACTATCATCTGGCGGACGCCAACCAGGTAGTCGACAGCTACCGGCATAACTTAGTCTACTTGTCAATGACTTCATGGATTTCCGTCATGTTTTGGTCTGGCCGCCCCTAGCTTTATTCCAACCTACTCCTACACCACAAAAGATAGCTCGTCGCGGCAGTCGGTGGTTAGGCATGGTTGGGCACATGGATGACAGCCGAATAAATGATCACTCGGTTATGTTCAGAAGTAAATACCCAATTAAAATATCGTGATGGTTTTAGTAGAGATTTCCAATTATGCCACTTATATTTTTTATGTACTGTAGAATTACGGGAATATAAAATATAAAAAAATTGATCATGAGCAAGAAATCGATTTTGTGTACTAACCCACATGACAGATTAATGACTTCCAGTTCAGTACATAAATCAAACAAAAGCTTTTGCTTAACATCGTACTTATACCCAGTGTCAGCAGGAATTTGATAATCAGTAGAAAAGTCAAACATGACAAAATGATACTCGTAATTCTGAACAAAAAAATGCCAACAGCAACCTGTAGTCTAACAACTAGTTTATAGCTATGTTTACAATTCCAAATGATGATAACTAGATTCGCAGTGGGGTTTTAAAATTTGTTCAGGAATGAATTACTGAAACCCAGTACAATCTATTTCACGGAAAAATTTATCATAACAGCAGTTATTTATAATAAGCTAGTAAAACAAAGATTACAAAAAAAGCATTACTCAATGGACTCTCGGATAACGTGATCTACTTTCTAACAGTTTTCATCTACAAATAGTGAAAAATATACGTGAATATTCAACAATCAGTTACACTAAATGATAGCAGAAAAAGATTATTAACATCGTAGAAGTGAATGAGTGTATGAACGATGTTCACTGAACTAGTTATTACTTCAAATATATTTGCAAAACAAATATTTACATAATTATACTCCAAAAATGTTAACTGTTCGAACTAAATAAAATTGTATCAACAGTTAGATCGAAAAGAGATGACAACAACAAGCAACCGTTTAATTATTAAAGCAGACAGCTTCATTCCGAATAGGGTCATATCAACAGAAGCACTTTGGTTTTACAGTTTGCAGGTTTTGTCAAACAAAAATAATTAAATTGGTCTCATGGAAACATGAGCTAGTAAAAGTCATCTGTAAAGACCGAGAAAAGTTTGGACACTAATCGGTCACTTTGTATGAGTGTTTCGTATTGAAGGAATTGTTTGCAGAAAAATATACAAGGGTCTTATCAACCAGCTCGTCCAGATGTCGGAAGAGGTGTGTGTGATGAATTGGAGAATAGTGACTTGTTGGTTCCCGTTCCAGTAGATCGCCAGAAGTTACCGCTAGATGTATTACCTCCTCTTTTTTGTCCATAGCCAAAGGGACGTTGGTTGTGATATCCTGTTCTTCTGGGATATTGCTGTGAGACAGTACCAAAAGTTGCTGAATTGAGGAGTCTCTCGTCCCGTCTATTCATTCCTTGAGGATTCAGGCTAAATAAACCAGATAAAGTCAAACTAAAAATACCAAATAATAGAGTGATGAGTAGCAGCAAACAGAGACCATATATTCAATCATGACTAATGATCGAATATGTGATTGTGATAAGCTACCCCACAGTGTGATTGAGGCAAAAAGAACTAGTAACGAACAGGAGTAAAAAAATTAAGAATTCCGTAAAAGAGATCTAGGAAAGTCCAACTAGAAAAGTTATCATACCTTTCAGACCAATTACATCCAACCAAGCCGATTGTCAAGACGGACGCTGTAAATGTTTCGTCTGCTAGACTTACCGAGTAGACTCTAGAAAATCTAGTTTAAAAGAAATAATACTATAATAGTGAAAAGCAATCAGCAGCCGTATGCAAATAAAGTAACTGCTTTTGGGGGGCTTCGTGAACCCAGACCCACCAAACCTTAGCCTCAAACTTGATTGAATAACAAAAATATTCACTATTTTAACCACTAACAGATTTCATTTCAAGTGCACGAGTAGTGGTATATTATCAGAATTACCGACCGTACCGAACAAAACATCTGGAATAAATGTTTACATATATTCGCTTCAACTGTAACTTAATCTTCTAATCATCATAAAAATTTTTCTACCACGTGAATAAACTAGGGGTTACTTTCCGGTCTAGATAAGTACTTCTAAGTGATGCAGCAAACAATTACGTATTTCTGCACATCGTTTTATACAAGGACCAAATAAACTACGCAGTTATGCAAACTAAAATACATGAAGCAGAGTTTAAGCCTGAAACCCAGTAGTCGGAAATCGGTAATCACTGTCACTTGTTTTCATTGACAAGGTAACGCAATTCAGTTAATCAAAAGATTATGTGAAAGCATAAGCTGAAGGGTTTATTCGAACAAAATAAATTTTTTAACAGTCAATTAACACTGATGTTATCTTAAACTAAATAGCACGCTGATTGCTTAAAGATGTATAGTTGATGGCTGATGAAAATAAAAGAATTACAGCACAGATATTCCATTTTTGTCCTTGATAAGTTCGAAGAGTAAGAAAACCATAATAAGATTGCCAGACCAGTGTTAATAAGATAACGAACTTTTATAACTAAAAGGTGCTTGCGTTATTTGCGGTGAGTGTTCAGACACTACGGGAAACATAAGAAATCAACGAAAGACGTTTTTCTAGGATAAGGATTTTTTCACAAGCCGGAAAAAAGTAAACACAAGTGCATGCTATTTCCAGGTTACTTTGTGCGATGTTCCGACGGATGATGAGCAGCTTATAAGGAAGGCAATAGTACATTACAAAATCAGAATTTCTACTTTACAAATGTGGTCGTCTCGTGCTCAACGACACGTACGTAATTACTTGATACTCAAGTTACAGAAATAGGAAGCACCAGTTTATTCTTAATCCAAAAAGTGTCACCTCATTATTTTCCAAAAATCGATAGAGCAAACAGGGTTCCAAATTAATCACCACTCACCCATTTGCGCGGTCCATCATCTCGGAACTAATGGTATCGAAAAATGATTTCGACTTATTATAGCAGGTGTTTTCGTCCTCAGCTGCGCTGCTTCCGTCATTTTCTGCGTTATCAACAGAAGCACTTGACGAACCTGTCTTCTAGAAACAAAAGTTATGACATACTCAGCACTTACAGAATGGATGGTTATTTTTTCCAACTCAGCCGCAAGTTCAGCATTCGCTCTTTCATAGTCATATTCTCCCGAAAAGTTAGTGTTTTCGTTTGACTTGAACTTAGACCAATTATGACCACCCGTGGACCGCCCACCCCAACCACCATAATTATGCGCAGAACCCCTAGGGCCACGATGGTTAACTGACCACTGCTGACCATACCCTCCACGTCTATCTTTCGAGTAATCATGCCCCTGGTAATAGGTGAAAGTATTTTTATAAGTGTCTCCCTTTCTAACTGCTTGATCCCGGTTAGCAGGATGTGAGTAGTCATTATGCACACCAGATCCCAAAACAGCCCGATGTCTAGTTGGACCAGTTTCAGACTCTTGAATATTCTTAGAACTTGTATCTCTTCTTCCGGATGAGCTGAAAATCCCTGGGTCTATGTCGTTGCGCGTATCTCCGAAAGGTCGTGGGCCACGACCATCGGGAACCTGAGAGCTATCAGCATGAACTGTCCCTATTGGAGCTGGTCGAGAACCGACTGCAGGGACCTGGTATGAGGAATTGTTAGGGTAGTTATTGTGATTTAGACTATCAAGCGAGACAGATTGAGATGCTGGTATTGGAGACAATTCGGAGCATCCGGTCGAAATACGACTGGGGTTAAGATCTGCAAATAATAGTGTAACAAAATTCGAACCCACCCATACGACCCCTACTTTCGTTTACTGACAGCCCAGGAGGGTGGGACAAAGCAGACTAATTTCAAAAATAAGCAGTATGAAAGTACATACCCCCGGGGCGGCACTAACGATTGCTGAGTCCTCATTTAAGAACACAGAAGACTGCACTACACGTACATCGTCAAGATCTCGGCCACGAAACACTACTTGATTATACTCTTCGTTTCGTGGAGCAACTGGCCGCTCACATGGGCGGTCCTCCGTGCCGAAAGACCAAACTGTTATAACGAAGCTAGGAGGAAGAACATTGCATACCTTTCGACAGAGTAATAACGGGTTCATTAGGTGTGTCAAAATCTATAGAGTGAAGATTTCCTTCGTATCTTATCTTTGCCTTCGATATTATACTGACACGACATCCTATAATTGATAAGTCGGACGCATTCATGACAAATGGAGGTCTAGACCGATACGAGCGCTAACAGAATATAATGACATAAACAAAAGAGGCCAATCCAATATCCAATATATTTTTCACAAACTATTATAAACTGAATGATCTCTTTGTGCTCAGTAATTCCTCTTTTTGGATTGTTTCAAGTATTAAGTAGTGTCTAATGGATCACTATCTAGCCACTCGACAGCACTAATTCTAGTCAGTTGGCAGCTATGTTTGTTTGTCCCATGAATGACTGCGTTTGACTCAGGGCAGTAGAGTTCTTGGATACCAGCAGCTATCACGTTACGAGATCGAACATCAGACAGTTGTAGTGTGGATAATAATAAGGAGGAAGTTCTAATGCTAATAAGATTTCAGAAATAAGTAAACGAATGGATGATAAGTCAACTAATTTTTAGTGAAGATTGTACGAGAGGGCCGAAGAGTTGGCAAGGTAGAGGAAACAGAGATAATTAGCCATATGGACTAAGTTAGTGATCTTCGGAAATAGCAATAGTGACAAATAGCAAGTTTGGAGAGATTCATCAGACACATTTGGTCCAAGAGGTAGATAATGATCAGTAATGTGAGTAGTACTCTGAACTTGTAGGTACCAGGTTGGGTGAAGTTGGTTTTAAACATCTCAGCCATTTTTAGTCGGTAAGCTCTGCGATATTTGAACCTTTGAGGGCACAAACACCTTGGTCGGTATGTTTCCTTTCAGTTATGAACCTGGACAGACATTTTGTGTTTACCTGTATTTCGGCAGCTAGCTTCGTCTGGGTGTGTGTCCCATCACTTGCGACCTTGGCAATGCATCTGTTTCTCACTGCCAAGTAAGAACTACGGTCAGAATCCTCCATAAAGACCTTCCTTTTCTGAGCAATCGTTCAGTGCCACACTTGATCCAAGTTCTTCTCTTCCCCGGTTTGCGATTGGCCTGAGGTACTTTGTGTTGGACAGCATCCTGGATGATGTCTCTGACTGTTTGCCAGTGATCATCATCAGCCTCAACCGTTCCCGTGGAGACGGGGTTGGGAAAGGTACTCTATCATGAGTATGTCGTTTGCTCTAGTGTAGCACTGATAAAGCTCGTTTTCGTCCCACCTCAGTATATCGTTTACGACCATATAAAATAGGACTGCGTCATGGACACTACATGCTATTGTTGTATGGACTTGAGCATCCTTGACCAGGAGCTGGTCACTTTTTAACAATTAATCCATTATTAGTGCACCTGGTGGTGGTGCATAAATTCGCAGTGAATCTGGAACTTTTAAAGTCTGCTTCATGTTGTCAGTGGAACCGACCTGTGGCAGTTTCACTCCGTTCGCTTAAATTTATAAATGGAGTGTTGAAATCTCCGGCTAACAATAAACTGATCATACCCAAATATTCGTAGCTGCAGCACTGCCTCAGTCAACTTATCTTTCTGGGTCTTAGTACCTTAAGAAGGCTGGTGGATCTCTCCATCCAAGTATTTTGTGCCGTTTGTATTGAAGCAACACCAACATGATTTTGTAACATTAGTTATTTGGGTGCCATATTGTTTCGACTTTGAAATGGCTGATAATATACTGCCACTCCGTCTACTGTCTGGTGCACATTCTTCGTCGGAAGAATGTCACATCTTATAAGCTCACTTCGTCGTCTGCTGTGTTGGGGGATAGCCAAGTTTCGGTTACGATTATGATCTTCAGATCCATCTGCGAGCACATATTCCTGACCTCTAACATCTTTCCCCTTAGTCTTCCTACGGTGCTATAGTGGTACTTGGTGGTTCGTTTCATCATCAAGTGCATCCCTGCAACAACAGCCGGTGTCGGATTCGTTCAATACGTCTCCATTAACCAAACCATATAACCTCTGCTCTTGGAGTTAGGTCTTATGACGTCTCATAAAGAAAGCCAAGTCTCTTCGGAAGTCACGTAGCGGACGCTCCCTATAACAACCAGAAACATTCCAAGGTGCGGGCAGCCAAGAAGATCCATCCGCCCTCGTACCCGCAAAAGAACTGGAAACCGAATTGTTCACAATCATATCCTTTCTCACATCCTTATAAATCTCCTATCTCCACGACCAACCCTTCTTTCGATCGTTTGTCACCGTTGCCCATTCGTCGTATCTGCCTACGCTCCCACTGACTGAAGTTCAGACGACATGAAAGATAAGTTTTATAGAGACCTCTCTAAACCCCTCCAAAATTTCAAGCGCCCTGATATAGTAATAATGGCCGGTGGCTTTAACGCCCAAGTAGGTAGACTAAGTGAAAAGGAAAGATACCTTAATGGATCTTATGTGTAGCGACTAATAGGACATATAATGACGAACGTCTGCTGCAGTTATGTTCAGATAACCGCTTATTCCTGGCAAGCACTAACTTTAAGTATGAAAAAAAACATCTCCTGACACAACTAGACCACATCGCTATAAGCCATCGGTGGTGAGGCCCTATTGAAGACTGCCGCTCATTCTGGACCACTTGTTTAGACTCAGACCATGCTCTGGTGAGAGCACGTATTTATTTGCGTTTCACCGGACGTAGGAAAAATATCGCAAGGAAACCTGTTAGAACTCTACTTAATGATGATAAAGTTGAGAATATATTTCAGGAAAAGCTAGAAAAACAGTTAGGCAGCAAAGCAACGAGTGATTCCCACCATGAGGCAACTTGGAATGATTTGAAATAGGCTGTGGAAGCAGCAGTGATATCTGCTAGTAAGATCGTAGACAGAATCCGAGAACTGGACGTAATCCCATCAGACTGGTCTCAATCCCTGATTGTCTAAATTTACAAGAAATGACAAAAATCCTTTTGTGACAGTCAGAGAAGAATAAGTCTAACTAATATAGTTTCTAAATTCTTGGCGTCGACTATAATCAAACGCCTAACTAGAGCTCGTGAAGAGCGGACTAGAGAAAATCATGCTGGTTTCAGACCCGGACGTGGGTTTATAGACCACATTTTCCCACCACTACAGGTCTTGGAACAAAGACACACATTTAGGCTTCCGAAAATAGTTGTCTTACTAGACCTTAAGGCGGCATTCGACTCTGTGGATTGTGAGGTTCTGTGGCAGTGCCTGTCATTAAAAGATGTACCAAAAAAGTGCATTCACTTTATACAAGCTCTCTACTCGAAAACTACTTATTCAATTTTATTATAGACATGCTTCTTGATATAGCATTATCTTCGTCTGAATTTTCAGGAGTATGTATGGCAAGTTGATGTAGGTCCTCCAACTCTTAACGAGGTTTAAAAAGCTATAGACAATATAAGGTAACGGAGAGCGTCAGGACCTGTTGGATTAACCCATGAGATTTTTAAGGATCGTGGTCCAGTTTTAGAAGTTTGCTTGACTTATTGACTGAGTCTGAGCTAGATACGACACTTTCTTCATCTGACTTTTCAAAACTTTAACTTTAACTAGGCGATTGATTGTTCGACTTTGAAAATGCCGATGACATAGTTCTATTTGGTGAAGACACTGACAAAATGCAGTGTCTCCTGACTATCCTAAGCCACAAAGCAAGCATGTTCGGGATGCGATTCTCTCTGTCGAAATGCGAAATGTTGCTTCAGGTTTGCCTTGTATCGGCACCTGAACTAGTGATAGGGAATGAAGCAGTTGAGCATGTTGACCGCTTTACTTATCATGGGAGTCCCATCAGTGCTGATGGCCTGGTGACTGACGAAATCTCAGCACGAGCACAGAAGGCTCGATTGGCTTTGACAAACTTGCATCACTTATGTCGGAGGCGAGATATCCGTCTGCTAACTGAAGGACGAATGTACTGTGTTGCGATGTAGGAACAGGTTGGAAAAAATATAGGTGCGGCCAGGCCAAAACATAGAAGAAATCCATGACGTCAATGAAAAGTGGACTGTATCATACTGTTAGGTGTCGGCTACCTGGTTTGCGTCCATGAGATAATAGTAATCCATGGTTAGAGACCCTGAGTGACATGGCTCCAAATCGTTAGCAATGGTGCAGGTGCATTCATTCTTTGAGTTCTCTCAAATTTCGACCTTCTAAATTCATCATCAACTTTATCTTTTTCTTTTTAAGTTTATTTCACTAGATTCTACTTCTTGAATAATATCGTCGAACCCTAATCTCCCTGATTATTGCTAATACCTTTACCACAAATACTGCTATGGAATTCGAACTGACAGTTATAACTCTGTGCTAATGTGGTATGACAACTTGGACCGATGTACATACGTGCGAAGGTCTACGTTTCTGTTGATTGGCCGATTTCGTCTTGACGGAAGAGTGTTGGTTGAGAGCCAGTTCAAGTTAAATCCAGGTCTGTGCATAACGAGAAATGGTGATGTAACTGTTAAATGATTTTCTTTTTGAAATTTACCAGGTAGTAATTTGATAGGCTGCTGGTTAAAGCAACAGCGTCTTCGGCAACATCAAGGTTAACACTAAGGCGTGTAGTCGAAAACTATTATGAAGAGAGCGCGATTGGTTCAATAGAAACATTCATGATTATGACTGATCCTATCAGTGATCCTTCAACTATACTTTTTGTTAATAACACTAATGTATGCCCAAATTTTTGTTTGTGCTGCTGCCACACTTTGTTTTAGTCTCTCTTTAATTTCGTCCACTTTCCTGGTTTAATTT